CATTCTATTATCACCCTCTGATTAGTGATTACTGGCTTTGAACGCACCGAGCTAGTTAGTACCGTGATGGGGCTTTTTAAATAAATGATCCTGGCTAATGAAACAGCTGATCTTAGTTAGTAACAAAGCTACACAGATCATCTCACACCATCATTCTACACTCATCCTTCACTCATATTTGGGTTAAAATACGCACCTAAGTGGCGTCCCCATCTTAATGATTGATAATTGATAATTGATGCGCGGAAGGATAGGCCTACATTCATCGTTTCATTTTCAATACGATACTGAATACAATTCCTCATTGAATTTATACCAATACTGATTCAACCTATAATAAACTAAAAAAAAAACTGCACTTGTAGGAGTTTATAAAAAAGTATTCATCCTGTTAGTTGAAACATTTAATAGTTTAATTTGGTACTACTTTTTGTCTCCGGTACAAGCATAGTAATTATTTTTCCAATATCACATGTTTCTTCCGATGTAAACCGATGATATCGCAAGCAAAGTATCGATATATATCAGTATCAGAAGCACCGTATCGTCTATCTGCCAGTGTCAAGTCAAGGCCAAGTAGAACATAAAGTGTGAGGTTAAGTTAGTTGGTACTCTTACTTTTCCAGATTCCAGATGTTTTATTCTTTTCTTATTGGTTTTATGAGTAAACTATTTAGGCCTACATTTTTTCTAATAATTCTTGATTCTGACTATTCGATATCGTCTTACGGTATACCTGGAAAAAGTATAATATCAGTCTGGAAAACCTGGGAAAGTCAGGGAATTTCATTTTCCAAAATCAGTACCAACCCTGAAAAAGTCAATTGTGTTTCTTGAACATATGATTTGATAACCTGCCGAATTAAACAGTCTACTAATTAAATTTTCAAAGCTTTTGTTCCAATTTAAATTTTAATCAACATACAAACCGAGATATTTTGCATTATCGTCATCAGCTAAATTTTTGGTCTCCAAACTCTCTTGCTTGAGCAGTACAAAACTTTACCAATTGGGGTTTATCTCGATTCATTTTTAGACTGTTAATGTTGAACAACTGATCCAGTTACGATATGACTTGTTTAACTTTGAGCGATAATTCTGAATCATTTTTACATTTGACAACTGCAGTTTTATCGCCGATAATAAAATAAGGTTGTTAGAGACATTTTCAGGCAAGTAATTTATATACAAAATAAAGAGTTGAGGTCCAAGAATCGAGCCTTAAGGATCACCAACTGTAATCTTTTCCCATTCTGATATTGATTTTTCATTATTTTTAAAAATTACTGTTCTTTGAAAACGATTCGTTAATTGTGAAGTCAACCATGAAACAGATTCGTTTGAAAAGTTATAAATATTTAGCTTTTTTAAAAGGATATCATGGTTGAAACAGTCAAAATTTAAAGAATCCTTAGGACAGTTGACATTTTAAAATAGGCCTAATATTGTCTGTGGTATTGAACAAGTGCTCAAATTGTTCACTATTCATGATTGAATTTAACATAATCTGTTATGTCAGAAAATATTTATATGAGAACTAACAGATTATCTCCAAGAAGAGTTAAGTGTATCAGCTGGGTCAAAGGTTATCAGTTAATATAAGGTTACCATTAATTCCTTGCCACGAACTGCTACCATTATTCATATTCAATCTCGTATTTCCTGGCTCCATTTGGTCTGGTAATGAAATAACAAATCATGCACATTTTAATTAAACTATAGCCTAGTTGTGAAAGTTGCTATCAAATTCATCCCTTTATCTTGCAGGTTCGAACCAAAGCCACAAAGAACTTTTTTTAGAAAATGTTTATCCAAATTTTTAGAATTATTGTGCACCCCCACAAGTTGTTTTATTGATAGATCCAACTATCTTATAAATGCCTGTAGCCTGCCAATAAATTCCTCCTCGGGAAGGTGACTCCCTCTTAGGCCTACCATACACAATACACATTCCATCCTGGCCTCAAAATTGTCGTAGTTGATGTGAGCCACCGACAGATTGTGCTGATTTAAATTACTTATTTCTGTTGAATACAAAAACTATTTTTGCAAGTCAAACTAATGGAATGACATTGTGAGCTATAGCAACTGTTATGACCCATCAACTTGGTCAGAAAAAAATATTAAAATACCCCCGCCGCAGCAAACCTGCAGACTAGGCGAATTTCCATTTGCCTGATTGGATTTACACTAAAATGCCTCCTTCAAAATAACACATTTATTCCCTACTAGTGTACATGTTGCTCGAAATCGAGCAATTGCAAAGAAGTACAGTAGTTATTTACAAACAAATAACTTGTTTAAAAACTAATAACAGTCACAATTTCCCATGATTTTAAAAGAGTCGACTAAAAGATTATTAACTAATGGGAATACTCACAATTTACATAACAGTCCTATTCAAGTTTAAAGGGTTAATTTTAACAATCAAACTGCCCATGGACGGGAAAAGGTAAGCTTACAATTTAAGTCAACGTAAAAAGGCTGTCAGCTTTATAATGTACCATGTACCTAAAAAATTATTTAGCCAATTTGTAGATAATAACATGTAGGCTACTTTAAACTCTACAGGACAGAGTTAGGCAAAAACTGGCAGAACTCTGAAATGGTGTTATTTACCATAGGCATACTCATATGCCAAATCCTTAAAATTAAAATTCAATAATTAATAACTTATATTATTAACCAACATCCAAAACTATACACATTTTTAATACAACATAGATAATTTACACATTGACTGTTTACAATTAACATATGTTCTTCTTCTCACTTTTAATTTTTGTTTCGCAACGGGAAAAATCTGTTTCATAATCATTGAAATAGATTTATAATAAACTAGCTGTAACCCACGGGCTTTGCCCCGTTTAACTTCTTAATTTTCAAGATGATCTCGTTCGCATGGCTCAATCACGTCCTGGTTGAAGTTCGTTCGCTATGCTCACTCACCTTTAGGTTGGAGCTCATTCGCTACGCTCACTCACCTTTAGGTTGGAGCTCATTCGCTACGCTCACTCACCTTTAGGTTGGAGCTCGTTCGCTGCGCTCACTTGCCTTCAGGTTAGCTCGTTCGCTACGCTAACTCGCCTCCAGGTTGAAGTTCGTTCGCTACGCTCACTCACCTTTTGGTTGCAAATTAGCTGTTGTCATAAATGTAAAAGAAATAATAGTGCTGCACCCTGTTGGTAATCCTTGTAACTTTAATGCTATTGAACATCATAGAACAGAACCAACTTGTTTAATTGAAACAGCTGTTAAGATTCATTAATTCCATTTCTCATAAGGTTAACATGGGAAACTCCAGAGCCACTGGGGCGGAGCCGATTGGACGGGATCACGAAATCGATGGTGTATAAACCTATTCCATGAAATTCTACACGTATGTACCAAGTTTCGTGGCAATCGGTTCAGCGGTGTCTGAGTTTATCACTGCCAAACATATATATATATAATCCTCTTTTATACTTATAGATAATCATCATAAAGTTTAAGATTAAATAAACCTACCACATAGTTGTTTTATTTTTTTGAATCAGCTGTCTGAAATTGTGAAATAGGCATTTGACAGTTCAGGTTGTTAACATTTAAATGTCAAAGCAAATTTAAACATTCTGATTTTTCACATGCTTCCATGGAGACCAATTATTAATATTTAATTTTTGACAACAGCTGGAGTTTCAAAACAATGTTTGTTTCCCATGTTAATCTTATGGAGAAATAAGAAAATTTAAGGGCCCCAGGGCCTCACTCTCTAATTATTTCCCTAAAAAGAAAGTTTCCTGCACAAGTTCTTGTTACGCTTTTTCCAATGACACCAAAAACATCTCAATCGGTTCAGTAGTTTCGGGGGAGTAATTGTCACAAAAATCCTGCTTGCGTATTAAATAAGTATATAGATTTAAATAGAATTACAGTAGTTTAACGAGTACTTAGGTTTGCTGCAACAGGGAGGGTAAAAAAGTGTTTTTTGTCGTAAAATGTAAATATTTTAGTAAGAAATTAATGTATTTTCAAAATTTGATCAAAATATGTTCTTAAACAAGCAAACTACAACAGTTGACTTATTCTCCATAAGAAAAACATGGGAATTTATAATGTACAATTTTTTGGAATTTTCTCCGTAACCATTAGGCGCATAACGCTTCAATATAGGCTACTAAATTTTTTTTTCAAGCTTTACAAAATGGTTCGGAAAGAAATTGTGAAATTTTGTGTTTTTAGGGTCAAAAATGGGAAAACCCTATTTTTACCCCGTAAAACCCCCCATAAACCCCCGTTCCCATAGTCCGATCATGCTGGTTCGCGAACTCGTTAGAATAAATGTAGGTTTACTCGTTTATACCAAATTTAATCAAAATCGGATCGTTTTTGCTCAAGTTATCGTGCGAACGGACATATATATATATAAATGTATATATATTTGAATTTTGAGGGGATGGTGTTTTTAGCCTCTAGGGACCTCAAAACGAGGGTCAAAAATGGGAAAACCCTATTTTTACCCCGTAAAACCCCCCAAAAACCCCCGTTCCCATAGTCCGATCATGCTGGTTCGCGAACTTGTTAGAATAAATGTAGGTTTACACGTTTATACCAAATTTAATCAAAATCGGTTCGTTTTTGCTCAAATTATCGTGCTAACGGACATATATATATAAATGTATATATATTTGAATTTTGAAGGGATGGTGTTTTTAGCCTCTAGGGACCTCAAGACGAAAAAGTAAATCGGTCCTGGGTTCAGGTCTTACGCTGAGTACTACGGTAATAGCTTATTCCCTATAAGGGAAATTCGCTAAAATGGGGTTGAAAATAGATTTGGAAACACTAGCACATTCTGTGACTGGCTCACACAACTTTTTTCTTGTTTCATATAAAAAAGGTGACAGCTTGTCCATATAGATGGGATATCTACTTCAATATCCAATAGTCCTTAGTTAAGAGTTTATTTCCAAGTACCTGTCTTGACTTTATATTTGCCTAACCAAGAACTGTTGTTTCAGGTGTATCAGGATGTGTTGCCACCGTTTTACATGATAGTATTATGACCCCAGCTGACGGTTAGTAAATTTATAACTATTAATATTAGTTAATAGATTTAAAGCCATGTTTACACGAGACCAGTAGAGCAGGCAGACTACTTGACTCAGGTAACCTGAAATACATTAGAGGCAAGTAAAACCCTGCCTGCTCTACTGGCTTAGATAAATGATTGAACTTTGTTCATGAACTCTTGTTCTAGTTTTTCTTTGTAATCTCGATATTATAAATATAAAAGAACTTTTTTAAAGTTCATACAGAGTGTCTAAGAATTCTATATCCATCTGAATTTTTTTATTGAAAATCTGTTTATATAGCCTAGGCTATTTTTAAACTGAACGTTTAAATATCTAAATGTCTGTATGTATGAAAAAAGATATTTTAATCTTATAATGTAAAGACATTTATTTACTTTAGATCTTTTAAACCAATCCAAATATTGAATGCGTTCATCTTGATTTGACATCCTATTTAAAAATTTTCTTATATCAATATTAGACTAACTTGCAAGAACTACCACTTCTAAAAAACAATTTTTCCAGGCAGGATTGTGAAAATGTGTTTGTATGGTAACGATTTAAAGTTTAGTATCAATAGTATTATAAGAAAATTATATGGGTCATATGGGAGTCTCAAAACAAGGTGTACATCTAAATCAATGTGGTAACACTTATTTACACAAAACAGTACCGTCAAGTGAAATAAACGTCCTAAATTTTCTTCACAAAGCTGTAATAGTTAGTTTTTATTTTTATACTATTTTATGTAATCAGGGATATCCAGACTTTTCAAGTTAATTTTGCAAATCTCTTGCCAACAAATTTGATTCAGTTAAGTACGAAGGTGTAGGTATAGGATGCTGATAGAAGTGAAGTGAACAAGAATTTAATAATATGTAGAACCGTAAGAATGGATTCGAGAATCCAGATTGTGGATCAAAGGAGCAGATGGATATTTAGCCGACTCCTTTATTCTAAGGCTGACAATAAAGTAAAAATAACCTACTTGCATGGTGCTTGTGTTGTGAGAATGGTAATTTAGTGATTTTTTTATGATCTTTGCCAAAGTGTTGGTGGCTTGGAATGGTTGCAGGTTTTCTACCTACCAGACTTAAATTGTGTTAGTTTTGCTTTGCATTTGTACTACCCCCAATCATTGTAGACCTCGATAAGAAGCCTTACTTGATAATTCACAGGAAAGACTTGATATTGAGGTTCTACTGTAATTTTTAAAATTTAGAATATTTGTATGTCTGACTTTTAAAGATCATTTTCAAAACATGATCCATCATTGACATTATCCATTATTCTTCTTGGATTTATTCAGGATTTACATTCTTACACAAATTCTCCTCTTTTTCACTTAATACAAAACGAGAACCCTATATTTGTCATGGTTAGCTGAGGACATGTGAACACGAGAACTCAAGTAATTTTGGTCCCATTTTGATTAAATTTTGTGTAAATGTGAAGGGCTAAATAAACTTGAATGAGTTCGCGAACCAGCAAGATAGGGTAATTATTACCCTATCTTGCTGGTTCTATTACCGGGTAATAGAAAGGAAATGTTAGTTTCAACATTTTTCAAAAATTGGGGGGTAAAATTTTTTTTATTTTTAAAACATGAAAATGCTCAATTTTTATAGCAAAGCTTTACATGGAAAATCTTTTTTAAACTACATTTGAAATTTCCATGTTATTTTTATGGAGTAAAAGAAAACCGTTGTAGTTGGCTTGTTTATGGATATATGGATCAAATTAGGTAAATTTATTTATTTCATTCTATACTATCGACATTAAAAAAAAAAACCTTTCCTTTCATATAGTAGCAAACGTAAGTAGGTACTCGTTAAACCTAATGTTTTATAATCAGGCAATAAATCTGACATGTTTAGGTATGAATTTTAGTTAACCTCCAATCAGACAAGTGGAAATCCGCTTAGTCTGGAGGTTTGCTAGGGTGGGGGTATTTTTTTAGTTTTTTATATATTTATACTCATCAGGCATTGCTGCGATTTCATGAAAGTTAACCATTCCATATAATTTAAAACACAAATGTCCTGTGTTTCCACAATATCCTACAAAAATTCTTATACACTGAACTTTTAAAAACTAGGGTCAACCATAGGTTGATACATCTACGGTTACAGAATCTTTATATTAAAAATATAGATTTTTCTTTTCAGAGTCGGTTTGGCTCATCAACAAAATAATTTTGGTCTAAAATTAAAGGCACGCCTATATTTGCCATCTAGCATCGGAATTAATTAATTTGACATAGGTACAGGGTGAATAAAAAGTCAAGACCCCCCCCCCCCCTTTAATATTTTTCCAAGTAAATATACAGAGATATCCTTTTGGTGGTCGAGCAATCTTAGCAGGAAGTTTCATTTTATCATTTTGAAATTTTTGAGTGCCCCCCCAAAAGGGGGGATTTGGGGGGCAACTCAAATATTTTAAACGTAAACCCCCTTCAAGTGACACATCATTTTGAAGTGTTTACAAAAACTTAAAGAATGGTGAAAACTAGAGGTCGCTATCTCTCCTCTATCCAAAATGGTAGCCCGTCAAATGTTGTGGAAAATCAACGGTAAAATTGTTAATATTGGCTGCCATTTTGGATAGAGAAGAGATAGCGAGCTCTGGTTTTCACCATTCTTTAAGTTTTTGTAAACACTTCAAAATGAGGTGTCACTTGAAGGGGGTTTATATTTAAAATTTTTGAGTGTCCCCCAAAAGGGGGGATTCGGGGGAAAACTAAAAATGTTTCAATAGAAACCCCTATCAAGTGACACCTCATGTTGAAGTGTTTAAACAAACTTAAAGAATGGTGAAAACCAGAGCTCGCTATCTCTTCTCTATCCAAAATTGCAGCCAATATTAACAATTTTACCATTGATTTTTCACAACATTTGACGGGCTACCATTCTGGATAGAGGAGAGATAGTGACCTCTAGTTTTCACCATTCTTTAAGTTTTTATAAACACTTCAAAATGAGGTGTCACTTGAAGGGGGTTTACATTTAAAATATTTGAGTTGCCCCCCAAATCCCCCCTTTTGGGGGGACACTCAAAAATTTCAAAATGATCAAATGAAACTTCCTGCTAAGATTGCTCGACCACCAAAAGGATATCTCTGTATACTTACTTGGAAAAATATTAGAGGGGGGGGTCTTGACTTTTTATTCACCCTGTATATTTCGAGTCATGCACAAAAGCACCTTACTCCCTGTACATTTCCTATGGGAGTTAAATTTAGTTTTTCTTTTCCGAGCCTGTTTAGGACCTCTACCTTGCATGCACAGATTTGCTATTAAGCGGTGATGATTTCATTTATTTACTATATTACTCAATCAAAAACCATAAATTTGATTTTTTTGAATACTTAGGTACCTAAAGCTTGCTTCTGAATCACAAACAACTCAAATTGTTCCAAAAATTGAGTTATGTACTATCAATTGATAGTTAAATGATTTTGCTCATAACCTCAACATAAACCGTTGAAATTAACGAGTTTCTCCTAGTCTTACTTATTTCTCAAATCAATGACACCAATCAAAAATAATTAAACTAACCTACTACATGGTTATATAGTTTATATATCCAGCTGTTGCCTTAATTGATAGTTAATCAAAAGTATTTGTCTGTTATAATGTAAACAATTTTTTTCTCCATAATGATAACATGGGAACTTTAAAGACCAATGAGGCAGAGCCCTGAGGAGTTTTCCTAAATTTTATTTCACACAAAAAGTTTCATCACAATCGGATGGCCGGTTTGGTAACGCATAAATGACAAAAATAACAAACAATCACACATTGGACTTTATACAGTATCGATAGATATAAAAGATCAAATGCAAAATTTGCTCAAGTAACCATAGCGAGTTGCGTGAGTACTTGGTATTATTTTTATCTTGAATACCGGTTGGTGTTTTAAGTAGTTACATTTATTGTAGAACAAAGTTTAGTGTTGCATTCAGATCATGGTCTTACAAAGTCTTAAAAGGTAACATTGTATATTAGTTTCATTAAATCAGAATATTTCAGGTAAAGAACAAACTAAGCGAATAATTTGAGCTTAATTTCTATCAATTTTTTAAAAACTAAAACGTCAAACGGTCATTAGATTTCATTGTAATAAACAATTTTTATCAATATTAGAGAATAAACCTTATGAATTGTAAAAAAAATGTTAAATCACATATTTTAAAAATGCTATTACTCTGTATAATATGTGTGTTAATACCAATAAATGTCAACAAAAGTAACAGTACAACCCCACTAATCCGTCTCCTATGGGACCGGATCATGGTTGGAACAGTGAACAGGACGTATTATCCGAGGAGCGTATTAAATGACCAGATAAATTGATTAAGCGACATTTATTGATTGCACACTTGTGAAAAACCAAGTGAAAGATAATGGTAATGTCCCTATGACCGTGGGAGACGTTTAATTTTTCCAGGATCGTAGGAGACGATGATGATGTTCCTCCTGTGAGCGTGGGAGTTGTTTAATATTTTTCTACTATTGCAGAGGATGACTATACATTTTTCTATGATCACGAAATATGATGATTTTCCGTGATCATGTAAAACGGTTATGATGTTTCTGTGATCGCAGTAAAAGTTAAAGATGTTTCTGTCAACCTAGGGGGATAAATATGATTTTTGAGGTGATAGTGGGAGACAGGAATGTTTTAAGAGGTTGGCGGCCTCTTTTAACCTTGCATTTGCCCGTCCACATAGACTAACTGCCCGTGTGTGGAACGTATCCAGCAAAGCAAGGGGTGAGCTGGTACAGTACAAAGGTGAACTCTACTGATAAATTTTAGTGGAAGTGAACAGGATCCGAACCCACGACATCGCTGCCTTGGGCCCGAAGTCCGTGACGCTACAGACTGAGCCACCGACTCACCAAATTATCTCCACATGGCAGTGGCAAATAGTCAACAATATTACTGCCACAATAACATTGTCACAAACAGGCGATAGCACGGTCAGCGAGGAGTCGGGACTAGCTATGGTTGGATTAAACAAAGCAGTAAGAATTTCATGAGAAAGCTAAAACTTTATTTGGTAGAGAAAGATTTTTAATCCTTGAAAGAGTACTTCTCCACCTCCCCTCTTAGTGTTAGTCATAATTGAGTTTTGATTATTTTCATTTACCGGTACTGGTTCTTAGATTTTAATGTTAATGTACGTGTCTGAGATGTATGTACATAATTAATTTAAGATTAGTTGACGCCATTCAGTGGAAAAAACTGTACTTTATGAATAAAGCACATTTGATTTTATTTGATTAGTGGGGTTCTACTGTAGTAAACTTGGACTTTATCTTTATAGTAACAATAAATTAAATTATTTCAAAGTATTAAAATTGTTGATACTGTAAGACAGTTTAAAATTACAGGATAGATGTTTAAAAACCTGGATATTTATAAGTATGACACTAATACATTATTATTTTAGTTGATCCTGATAATAGATTAACTGTATGGCATCATAGAATACTGAGTAGTAAATCTGTCAATGTGACAATTTCCAGTACGCATATTTTCTCATATCTTGTGTGCGACTAAACCTTTCCTGTCAACAACTGATTAGATAGGTTTCCAACTACAGTTATTGTGATAATATGCGCTAATCAATTCTTTTAAATTATCTATTTCATGAATAAATTGAAAAAAAAACCCATGAACCCTATACTGTATCCTGTGTATGTGTTCTTTCCACAAATGGTTTGATTAATGAATGTTTTGCAGAGTAAATTGGACATGCAGAGAGGTATATCCTTACTAGTAGGAAGGGAATGTTAATGGATTAAAATCAGTTTGTGATTCCAATTTGGCCCAGAACTAAATGTTGTTAATATCATAAATTTCAAGATTTTTAAAAGCAGTTTGAAATACCACCGTTTTTCAAACACACCTATTACAAATTCACTATCAAAATTATAGTTTTTCCCTAGGAATTGTCAATATTGAATTTAATTTGGACATTTTTGTAAACATAATTGAACATTCACTTTTTGGAAATGCAGTTTTCCAATAAAGCAGAAAAAACCTCAAACTATTTTAAAATAATAATTTATAATATAGTTTTATTTTGTACGAGAATATATAATTTTAAACTATTAATGATAAACAACAAATTATAAAATTGATAAAAATTGTTGGCTGCAGTGTTAAATATTAGCTTAATAATAACTTTTTGGGGTGTTGCAGTGGTGAAGCAAAGAATTCAAATGTACAACAGTCCCTACAAGAGCCTCATGGAGTGTATTGTCAGGGTATACAGGTCTGAAGGTATCAGTGCATTCTACCGCTCCTTCACCACACAACTAGCTATGAACTTACCTTTCCAGGTAATCAGTAGATCGATTTTGATAATTAGATAATAAGTTAGTCCCAAGCAGCGACCACAGAATTAAAATAGACTGGCTATGCCATAAGCCTTTACATTGCGGGAATTGAAGCCATGTCAGCCATCTTGGATATGTATAGAAACGTCGAGCGGGCCTAGAGATGTGTAAAATGATCAGTGCTCCCTTTTCATTTACACTGTTGTTTTATTACCTTAGCATGCTGAAAATGCTTTGAAACTGTACTTACTTGCTATAGATTAGTGTGGGATGCTAATGGTATTTTTATAATCAGAAAATTTAAATAGTTTGCTAATATAAAAATTGAATAAAATTCAAACTGTTGTATAAATTTTAATTGGTGACATCAAAGAGTTTGATTGCGAGGAAGTTTTTTGTTTTTAAGGCAGGTTTTGTTATGTAAGCGAGAGAAATGGAGCCAGAATACTATGTTTTCTGAAACTTATTTTTAGAAAAAAATAGCTATTGTAGTTTTGATGATACAACAGGTATAACACAAGCTTTGTAATGCGGTTCGCGGCTACTTAAACGCGCGCCCGGTCTCTACTTGCCGGGTCAACTCCTGTGTTTAGCCCAGTTTCGGGATTCCGAATTATATGCCCAGGAAGGCATTATATGTTTGTTGGTAACATTTTAAGTTTACCAACAGCATAATATCAATATTTATATCAATACTAGCTGGCCCGACAGACGTCGTCCTGTCCTAATGTGGTTTTATGTCAAATGCTCGTTAATTTTCAAGGTGAGCTCGTTCGCATGGCTCAATCACGTCCTGGTTGAAGTTCGTTCGCTACGCTCACTCACCTTTAGGTTGGAGCTCGTTTTCTGCGCTCACTCACCTTCAGGTTAGCTCGTTCGCTACGCTAACACGCCTCCAGGTTGAAGTTTGTTCGTTACGCTCACTCACCTTTTGGTTGTAAAATAGCTGTTGTCATAAATTAAAAACAAATTATAGTGCTGCACCCTGTTGGTAAACCTTTTAACTTTTTAATGCTATTGAACATCAAAGAATCAAATTGCTTATTCGAACCAGCTGTTAAGATTCTTTAATTCCATTTAAATATGAGTACTCATAAGGTTAACATGGGAAACTCCAGAGCCACTGGGGCGGAGCCCTTTTGACGGATCTGCACCAAACTTCACACAAACCATCCTTGAATAATGCTTAATAATGCCTGAAAGTTTCATTACAATCTGTCAAGCGGTTTCGGAGTCCATAAAGGACAAACAAACAAACAAAGATACATTGGATTTTATATATTTAGATAGGTATTTATTTGCATAAAAATAATAACTAACTGTTTGTTATAAGGCCCATAAGGATTAAAATACAAACATAGTAAATCAAGAAAATCAGCTCAAATGTCAAATCAGAAAATCTGTGTATTATTATAAAATCGATTACTACATCAAATTGCTGGTATCCAAACAAAAATTAATAATGCTGAATTAAGGTGGTATCTAGAATATATATAGAGTATACAATATGGCTATGCCACAGTAGCAAATACATTTATTTATTTACAAAACCAAACAACCTCAAACATTCTAACGACAAGGAGCTTCATACAACCTCAAATATAATAGGCCTAATTAAAAACAGTAATATCAACAACAATAAGAATTTTGTATCTGTCAATTAACATTGTACCTTTAGTTAAATTCATGTTTAATGGCACCTCGAACAAATATCTCGATCACTGCGATTTACTGTTCCCATAAAAGTAATTGCTTTTGTAAGGTTGTTCCTGATTTTCTGTCTGTGATGTGTTTCATTGTAAATTTTTGTGTAGTGATTTATCCTGACTGTGAAGAATGTCTTACAAATTACATTGGTTAACAATAAAAAATGATTTTCAATAGAATCCTGATCCAAGAAATGATCATTTAGAAACAGGTTAAGGCCAATGCCTTGTTTTAAAACTTTAGACACCATTACGTCTACTACATTATTAGTTTTTAACGATGTGTCAGTGACAATAAAATAGTTTAGGAAATAGTAAAATAGATAGTAGAAATACAAAATAGTTAGGTGCGCGCACCGTACTGGGTGACTTATCACTGCGGCCGCCATGTTGGATAGGTGCGAAGCGTTGGAAACAGGCTTCACTCTACCGTTTGGCATGCCCGGTCTATCAATCAATCAATCAATAAAATCTTTATTCAGAACGTACAGATACATCGTACATGAATGCGTCATTATGTTATTTTTAAATAACATAAATATATTACATAAAGTTAAAAGATTTATATAACAGCAGTTTTTAGATAAAATAATACATTACTTAAAGTTAGATAAAATAAATAGTACATTACTTAAAGTTAAAAAAATCATCCAGTCTGTAAAAAGAATTTCCTATTAAAAATTGTTTCAGTTTCTTTTTAAATTTAATTGTGCTTTGCTCCTTCCTTATGCCATCTGGGAGTTGATGGATAAATTTAATGCCAATATACTGAGGACTTTGCTTATATTTTTCTTTTTTATGATTTTTAATTAATTTGAAATTTTGTTTATATCTAGTATTGTAATTATGGATATCCTGTTGTCGCAAAATATTTTGATTCATTATTTTTTACATAAAGAATTGTTTTATAGATATATAAACATGGAACTGTTAAAATTTCCAAATCTTTTAAATACTTTCTTAACACGTTGACTGCTAACGCCGACTCTAGTCGGCGTCGCTAGCACTTCAATGTGGCGCGCGCCGACAAAAGTCGGCACCAGACCAACAGAAATATATTGAGTCAATGTGAGCTTAGCCTCAGACGGAGACGTTATAATCGTTGCCAGCCTGCCAGCTTAGAATGCGAGCTTTACTTTGGTGTAGGTTGGTACTAAAATTTCCCGTAAAATCCTGTCTGGCAATGCTTTTGTCCCGGTTTCGGGGATTTTTTCTCTTCAACCCACATTACAAAGACACTGGATACGGATCCGTGCAGTGCTGCTACCTTTGGGTGTTTCAGTGAACTACATCCACTCTCGGGGTAACTAGGGGTGTGCGAGTAGTGGTTTTAGGATTCGAGTCGAGTCGAGTCGAGTCCTTAACAGATTTTTCGAGTTCGAGTATTTTCGAGCGAGTACTAACCGAGGTTTTTTTTCAGCTATGTGACATTGATAAACTTGTAATAGGCTGCTTAAACAAGCTATGATTTGTTAAGAATGTATATAAAGGCCTATGACTAAAAATATTAAAATTATGTACCTATCTAGCCTATAGTTGCCTCTATTATTATTTCTACCTTATATTACCCACTTTTTTGGTTTAAACAATGAAGCAGGTTCCTTCCATCATAGAATCATTCAACTGCTTAAATAAGTGCAATTTCAAATAAGGTTTGTGTTGACTTCTTTTTCTTAAACAGCCAAACTACGCTTGTCTTTCTTTTAGTAGTATTTACTCTAATTTTATTTGATTTATAACAATTTTGTATTCTTAGCTGTAGGCATCAAAAATTAAACAATAATCTACATAAGACAATATGTTTTAAAAAAATAAGCAGTGGTTTAGGTTAGTGATAAAATAAATTTATTAATCTTTGAAGAAACAAGTGAAACATAAAACAACACAAAAATGGTTAACGGTTAATGGTTAATGTTTACTTATGGTTAAGTAATAAATAAAACAAAATAATTAATGTAACAAAAGAGTAAAACATGAAATAAAACAACATTAGGTTGTAACAAAAAAAATATACTAAAATATGAATAACATTGTGGAAGGAAAGGAAATAATATATATAAATTAACCTAGCCTACCGCAAAACATACTTAATCGCTTATATTGTATTAGTCTTATTAAACAGTCTTATGAAAATACATATGCCCTGTCTCAGTTCATTAAATACAATTCAAATAAAACGATTAAGCTACTCAGTCTTTGCCTGTCATAAGTTATAATAGTTGTTACAGAGTTGCAGCATGGGGATCATCATCTGCTAGCAACATTGCAAATTACTCATCCTTTAAAAGAAAGTGCTACGAATATTATGCAGGACACACCACCTAGAACACTGTAGACCCCTATTCAATTAATCTAGCTCAAAATTTCCACTGTATTCTCATAATACATCCTAGAAACAGAAACCAACATCCTAGCAAAAAAATCCATTCCAACACTCCGGTCGCAACATTGTCATAATAAAAAAAATACTAATTCTAACCTAACCTAACTCATACAAAATATTAACACCCGACACAAAAATAATATAAACCTGTCACAACACAGGCTAAAAAAGTTTAGCAACGCCCCAACGTCCCCAACATACACAGGATCAGGATCTAAATACATTAATCTCCTACCAGACAAAATAAAACATATTTAAACTCTTTATCATAACACATTTGTAAAAACATTAAAAAATTACATTATAAACAGACCATACTACTCAACAAAGGGATACATACAAGCATACAAGAACACACCTACATCGAGCTAGCTGAAAGGCTGGAAAGAGGATGAAGAAGGAGAAACTATGATGACTCCCCCATCCGAAGATTGTGTCGAAGAAAGAAGAAGTAAAAGAAATTTCATTTAACAATTGTGGTGAAGGAAAACAAGTTCACTGACATGCTCTTGAGTTAAACTACGCCTACGCTCATTTACAATGTTTCCCGCACTCGAGAAAACCCGTTCACTCTGAACTTCCGTAGAAGGCACACCTAAATAAGTTTTTGCGATCGGCACCAAGTAGGTGTAAATGCTTGAATTCTCCTTCCACCATCTGCAGGGATCATCTTGAATTTCTATCGTAGGAAGAGAAAGATAGGCGTCCACTTGGTTCTTTATGACTGTTTCTATTACATCAGAAGCCTCTTGTGATGATTTTGCAGAACGACTTTGAAATCGATGCCACAAAGAGAAGTCTGGCTGTTGTGTATCTACAACATAATAAAATAAAAAAATGTGAAAGGATATGCATTTGTTTTATTTCATTAACAATCCAGATGAATTTAAATATCCAATCTTAAGTAGCCTAGT